CCCCACCCCACCCCGAGGCGGGTGTCGCGCTGAAAATTCCGCACGAGGCGGTGACAAGGCGAGTTCGAGGTCAATTGGGACATTCAGAAACAGAAAGAATCAAAATTATTGAAGGGAATAATGAATGCAAAGCGCTTGGTGGCACGGAGCCTCGGGTGGGACGTGCGTTGGGCCAGGCAGCTCTGTTCTGGCAGGTCCTGGTGAACGCGCCCAGGTGGCCAAATCCCGGGAGTGTTTTTCCTGGAAAGGCAGTGGGAGATGCCCCCGGAGGGAGGGCTCCGGGGAGCTTCATGCTTCTGGGGGGCTTTGCACTGCAAACCCTGCCACGGCTGCCTCCGACACGAGGTGTCCCGCTGGTGGTGCGGACTGGTGGGGGAAGTGGCATGATGCGCAGAGATGTGCCAGCCTTTTTGTGCCACGTGGGTTTAAGCATGTGTTTTAAGTGCTTCCCTGTATTCAGTCCTCTAGATTAAGTGCTCTTCTATACCCAAATGTCTCATCAGTACTGTTGGGAAGATCAGTTCTTAGTTAATGTAATTGCCGTTAAGTTCAAACATTTTACAGCTTTTCTCGAAACAGAAAAAAAACAAAAAAAACAACCCAACATCTGGTTTCTGGGGCCTTTTACATACATGAATGTGAGATTTTTCAAGCTATGGAGCGCTCTGTCATAATCCAGCAGGAATGTCTGTAGGAAAGTTAACTTGCTGTTAAAGCGGGCATCTATTCAGAGAAACGACGGCAGAAATGGCATTGTGGGGTCCATGTTTATGGTTTCTCAGCAACGCTGGTTGACGTCTCCTCGGCTGCAAAATTAAAGGACTTTTTTTCGACTTGCCAGCTCTACAAGCTTAGCTGGGGCTCCCCGCCACGCTGGGCTCCATCAGGCTCACGCATCATCAGGACTCAAGAATCAGTTCATGGAATTTAGTTAATAGCTAATAGTTGATGCATGAGGCAGAAATGAGTCCAAGGCCTGAGCTTTGTTCACTCTGCGGGGCATTGTGAGGTACTCAAAACTGACATTAAATGTTGAAGTGTGAAGGTGTAGCCCTGCTTGAACCCCATGGCTGGACTCGTTGATTAGGAACCATTTCTACACGTAATCACGTCGCGGGGAACAGCCGGTAGTTACATATGTGCCCAGGCTTTCTTTTGATTTCAGTGGGAGTTTTGGGTGTGCAAAGAATGCGGGATTGGATCCTACATGATTTATTGGCAGATAATTTACACAGGCTACTTCTTGGCTGTATTATGTGCGTTTCCTTTCTGCAAAGCCTGCCTTGGAGTAGTTTAAGCACCATCAGATTTATATGCAGGAGCTTTTGAGTACAGTTTTGGGAGAGAATGCCATCAAGCTAACTTCCCCAGTTTAAAAAAAAAAAAATTAGAATGTATATCTTAGGTTATTTTTGTGCATGGCTTTTCTGAGGGCTTTAAATGGCTATAAAGTAAGGGCTATAGCCATTTAAAAGAAGTTACTAGGAAAGGACCACAGTGACCTTGGCAATATCTAATTGCAGGCTAAACTTTCTGGGTGGGCATTCAGCACTGGATACAAAAAAAGTAAAATCTTGGCAGGAGCTGCCAGGTCTCATTATTTTCAGTAGAGCTTGACATTTCCAGTGTGTTTTTTAAAAAAAAAAAAAAAAAAAAAAAGAATAAGAATAAAGTCAACAACTTCAAAGCGGTAGGGTCATATGGAAAAAAATGTTTGAGCAAAACCAATTTAGCAGTGATATAATTACAATCGGAGAAATAAGCAGAGCGGGGGATTTTAAGGCTTGCTTATGGCTTTTCTTGTCTTCTTCCCTCTCCGTCCCCCCCTGCAGGAATGGGAGCTGGTGGTGCTGGGGAAGTTGAAGTGGAACCTCGCAGCCGTCACCCCGCACGATTTCATTGAACACATCCTAAGGAAGCTGCCTCTACCTAAAGACAAGTTGCTTTTGATCCGGAAGCATGCACAAACGTTCATTGCCCTTTGTGCCACAGGTAGGCCAAGGTGCCCTGGGTGCGCCCACTGCTTGTCGCGTGGCTGAAAGGGCAGGTCAGTCACTGGTGGGACAAAGGCTTTTCATCCCCCCTGTCCTTAGGTGATGGGGGAAGAGCGAGCGGCTGAAATCGGTGCGACTGTTTGCCAAGGGCATTGTGAATCAGGCCCTGAAGTGGTGTATGAACTGAATTCTTGCAGTCGGGAGCTGTAGCGCACTTCTGTCCTGCTCCTACCAATGCGTGTGGTGCTTTAGCAGCGAAGTCTGGCTTAGACTGTACGGTTTTCTACTTTGCCCGTTCACTAGTTTTTTTAAACGGCCACAGATCATTTGTAAGGACAGATGGGGGAGGACAGCCAAAATACTAGAAGCTGTTACGGCACATTAGCCCAAAATGCATCGGGCTAATGCACGAAATTAACGTGTTCATAAATTTTTCATGAACTGGATGCTGTCCAGATAAAAGGTAAAAATTGCCTTTTAACATGTCTGTGATGCTACCACATTACTGAAGCACGGGGAATGACAGTTTAAAAAGTAATGACTTTTTTTAAAAAACATCTGGATTCTTCCTCCAACTTCACTCCAAGAAAGCAGTGAAACCGCTCTGTTTCGTAGGAACAGTTACACTCCCCTTTTGTCGTATGCTTGGCTGAATACAGGTTCTGAAGATTTAGAGAAGAATAATTGCTTCTGTGAAAGAGACGCTTTTAATTTATACCTGTCTGCGAAACACTGGGTTTTGTTTGGGGCTTTTTTTTTGTCCCCAGTGACTTTTAGAAAGTAAATGTACTCTAATTTTCATCCAGAGGATTAACAGTTAGAAGCTAGACCTGGAACAGATACACAGCATGCAGTGTTTTCCAGGGATATTATCAAGTAGTTTATGGCCAAGTGTTGGAATTCACTACGGTTTGACATACCTAGTCCTTTGTGATGGGAACTGTTCTGCCTGCGTGTTTGCACAGGGGGAAGGAAGAAGGGCTGCAGCTTTTGGCGATGGATGTCTGCTGCTGTGCCTGCTTCTTGATATTTGAGACGGAGTGACTGCTTTTACAATGTAGGCCCATTTTTGTTACCTCAGTTGATCTGTTTTAGAGAATCTTATATGGGCTGTGTTAAGGTAATCGACTTTTTTGTTTACCAAGATGCTCAAGCTCGCCGTTCTTTTCCTATTTCTGCGGGATTGTTTTCAGGCAAAAGACCACAAAACTCAACAGAAATATTGCGCAAAGTCTGTAGGGTCACTCTGGGTAATTCTTCAGACATTTCTGGACTAATTAGCTTTTTACTGTAGGATTAATCTGTTACATCATCTTTGCCTTCTTTCTTTGCCTTCTCCCCTTAGCCAGCATTCATTCACACTGCCCTTTTTCTTCTGAAAAAGATGGTCTTTCCCATGGACACATCTGGATCCTCTCAACACAATTAGCCATCAACCTCCAACCTCCCAAACCAGACCAGTCTTTCCTCTCTTTTGTTGCTTTCACCTCCTACAGTGGTGTTTTGGATTGTTTCTCTTCATCCGAGAGAACATTTTCTTGAGTGACCTAGGTTTCATTATGATTTCACTTTTCAAATTCTGGTCTGTAATCCTTTGCCCTTGAAGTTTTCCATATAACCAAACCATTGCAGGACTGTGGGCCATGAAGGAGTTTCCAGAGTCCATGGCTTCTTCCCACTTGTTTCTCCATGAATTTCTCAGTGGTTAGCTCCATGCTTTACTAGTCAGTTTACTGAGATCCTAAATCCCTTTCCAACCCTTAGCCCGGTCATGGTTGTCTCATGTGCTTCCCCTGTGTGATCTGCTTCTCACTTTACATGTCTCCGATGCCTGAACCAAAGTCCTCTATGTAGAGCTTAAAGAGCCAACAAGTCAGAGTTTCTTTTCTTTCAAATGAAAGCCATAACTGACTGCGTACAGAACTTCCCAAAAAAACAGGGCACCGTGGTGCTGGCTGTATATTTTCTTCTCGTCCCATTTTCCACAAACCACTGTGTTGGCGTTTAGTTTTGAGGAGGACCCGCAACCTCTTGCAGTTTTGAAAGCAGAGGTCTTACCCAAGCCCTCACTGCCAGTTTTCTATCTGATTTCCAGTTTACTAACAAGCTACTACCCCCATTTGCGTTATAGAAATTTTGGTTTTACTACTGTATTTCCCCTTCACTGCCACTCTTCCCAAAGTCATTCTTACCCTCCTTGGTGAAGAAAAGCCCCTTCTCTTCAGACTTCCTTCCAGATCCAGTTGTCATTTCCTTTTCTTGTCCTATTTGTCACCAGTCTCTCATCGGTCGCTCTGTTTCTTCTTTCCTTTTCTCCCTCAAAGCTTCTGCTCTCCGCCAGCTCGGGTTAAGCCTGGCGTTTCATTTCCCCATTTGCCTTCTTTCAGCAATATGACCTCTTCTGACACGTGGCTGCCTCTTCCCTTGCCCTCTCCATGTGAGTTTTTAGCCCAGTTTTGACTCTTTACTGTTACCAGACCTGACCTCCCTGGCTGGCTAATGGCTCTGGTCAGGAGCACAGGAATGAATCTCTTTTTACTTACTGATTCATCTCAGTGCAGCTTTCTCTGCTCTCAAGTATCTTTTCTTCTTTAGTGTATCATACAAAATCTGTCTATTTTGAACTTTTTTCCTCTAGCCTGAGTTCTTCTTTACCAACTGTTCCATTTTAATTTCCCAGCAAAAGCGTTATACCAGAAATTCCCAAGTGTTCTCTGCCTTTACAGAGATGGCTGTGATCTCAGTCCTGCAATACTTTGTGTCAGCAAACACAGAAGGAAGAAACCATTAACAGTTCTGGATATTGTGTTGGATGTGTAGGATTATTTTGATATTCGTGTCTTATTTGCCTTTACGTTGGAATGTTACGCGAAAGGAGATGATAGTTGATTCTTTTGTATATTCCTCTCAGTCATGTTTTATCATTTTGGCACCCTCCCTGTTTCTCTGTCTTTATTTCGAGCCCAGTTTCTGAAACAAGCTGCGTGGATGTAAATCCACAGTCTCTCCCCAATCCTTGCGATGATTAATGATTCACATGAGCATGACTGAAACTGGAACGGATCCCTCTTTGCCCTTGGTCCCATCTGAACATACAGCTACTGAGCAAGACAGAAGCTTACGCCCTGAATAAAAATTTTTCTTTTCCCCCTGCCCTGCGTTTGCAATGCTTTCAGGAGCCTCCTGGATGGGCCCAAAAGCGATGTCTGCCTGCAGCCCGTCCCTGGCTGCGCTGCCAGCGCTGTGGCCGTGCAAACAGGGTACTGTCATTAAGCAAGGGCTTGATCTCTTGGCTGGGAATTACCCATGCATAGTCCAGCTTTCTTCAAGCTGCCTCGCTCACTGCACAGTAAGAGCGTAGAGATTGACACGCGCTGGCATAGCCTAGTCTGTCATGATGTCATTTGTTTTCTCATCCTGCTGGTGGTTCCCTGTGCAAGCTAAAATCTCCTTCAGGAGTCTTCAGAATTTTAAAGGCACTAAGAGGCTGTATCTGGAGCCCTTGTCCTTAAAATATAGCTTGGCAAAATTGATACTTGCTTTTTTTTCGGCATGGGAGGATCCTCACATTTATCCGTGAGGCCAATGGAGATCGTCCTTTTGCTCTCTGGGATCATGTCTGCAAAGAGACTAAGAAAGAGGAAAATTTCAGCTCTAAGTCAGTTTTGTACAGTGTGCCAAACCTCTGCCCACTGTTTCTGGGACATTAATCATCTACATTTGAAAGCTGAGAAGGCTTTTTTTTTTTTTTTTTAAAAACTTCTGGGCCAAATCCTGGGTCCTTACTCAGACAGAAGTCCTGTGGAAGTCAATGGGAGTGTTGTCTGAGCAAAGACTGCAAGATGAGGCCCACAGCCCTAGGAGTGATCTGGAGGGTAACCACACAGAATGCTTTGTAACACCAAGAGGCGTGTTTGGTCCTCAGGACTCCTGCTGGGCAAGTCTACTGTGCAATCCTTCCCCTCTCCGCCAGTGTAAGAGTTCTTGGGCTCTGACCCTGCGGAGGATAAAAGTGTGATACGAGTTTTATTCAGGACCTGTTCTTTGCAGAGGGAAGGAGAGAAGTCCACAGGGGCTTCGTTGCATGGATTAATCTCTTAGAAATAAAATACATGTTGCAAAGTGGCAGTGGTTGCACAAATACTTATTGCATGACAGAAGAAAGAATAATCCACATGAATTTATTGCCATAGAAAAGAAGGCTCTTGCTTGTTCTTGGGAGAGGCAGCTCATATCAGTATATTGAGCTTTCCAGCCAAATGGAGTCACAAGAATCACGGAAGCTCCATCAACAAGTTAAGCAGGGCCTGGGGAGTGTTTTGTATGAGCAGACTCACTCCTGAAGTTGTAGAACCCATCAAATCTGGGAAGATGAGGTGGAAGGAAATGGAGGAAAGAGAGCCTGTGCTGATACAAGCTGGTGTAATTCCAGTTGGAAAAAAAAAAAAAAAAAAAAGGTTTTTTGTGTTTGAAAAAAAAAATCACACTGATGCTGGAATTGCATTTGGATCAGGCAAGAATTCAATGCACTACTGATAGTTTCCCCTAGACCTTTCTTTTAAACTTCGCTGGTTAAGTATAGATTCATGCTTGTCTTCATAGTACAGTCACTGGCTGGGTGAAGTTTGAGGCTGGGTGAAGTTTGACCATTATCTGTATCATTTTCTAAACTGTTATTGATGACTGTCATGACTGTGTTCTCCTGATGGAGGCAACGTTCCTTTTTTTTCCCTTTTTTTCTTTTCCCGTGAGAATCATCACCTTCCTCAAGCCAGCAGTTTCCAATTCTGCGTTTGCCACTCTGAAAATAAACCTCTTATCAAATTATAGAGGAGAAAACTGGCTGTTAAAAAAACCCCAAGCAGCAGCCAGAGCAGTAACAAGGGTCATTGTGAGAAGGTAGAGTTCCCACCTGGCTTTGGCACACCGAGCACGTTCAGCCTGGATATTTGTCAGTGCTCTTTTCCTTCCGGCAGTTTTCATTTATTGGCTGCGAGTTAGGGCTTCCCCTTGCAGGACCTCTCTGGGTTCCTGCCTTCAGTTCCCCCCTGCTTTAGACTGACTGTCAACCTTGCATTTTCCTGGCTCGGAGGTAGTGAAGTCCACTCGATCAGGAGAGAGCCAGCGAAGCAGCTCAGCCACGGTGCGCAGGGTCCTAGAACCCGGCCGTGGATTACGTGTGCCACACGTGAGCTCCAGTCTGAAAGCAGGGTGCAGATTCCGGGTACCTTGAATTTGCTTGATGTCTCTGGCTGGCAGGCCCAGAGGTGGCTGTGTTTCAGAGGGCACTGTGTCTTTTATCGGCTTGTTTTATTTCCAACGCTGAAGTCGTCGGGGTTTGTGCAAGGTTGGTCCCTTGGTTTTAAGCTCCTTTAGGAAGGAGGTGATACTGAAATGGGGATGGGAAGGTCTCTAGTTACCGTCTGGTAATAGAAGGTAGAACAAGTCCTGCTTTCTGACAACCCAGTATCTTCCCTTGAAGTGTTTGTGTGCTCAGGTTCTTGTAGACTACACGTTGCTGCACTGCTCCTCTGACTTTTTACTCCTCTCTTGTACTTTCCTGTGGAACTGCATAAATCACAAGGTTAGAGTCAGAGCCATGCCTTCAGTGCAGGCTCTGGGTGCCCATTAGCTGAGGTTGTACGTAGGTCCGCAAGGATTCAGCCCATAGCCTTGCTTTGGATGTCCAGCGAGAAGTGCTTTTTATAAGATTCTTTTTGTAATTCAGGGTTCATCATCTCCAACAAGAATTTAAAGTAAAAGCATATGTTTCAGCTTCATGTGTTCAGGTCCTCTCTCTCCCCCTTTTATTTTGATTTGATTTGATTTTTTTTTTTAGATCTCAGGGCAAGCTTTCGACTTAATTCTAGGGGCAGTTTTACCTGGGTGAAAACTGAGTGAGGATGGCAGGACTTGGCTTGTTGTCATGGGAGAAGTGGGGATAGAGGTTTATAATTGAAAATAACGTGTAAAAAGCTTGTTTTGAATTTCTTGATGGAATGTAAGAGACTCAGAGGGGGGTTCTGCATCCCCTCAGATACGGTACTTAATATTTATGCTTTCATTGCACCTTGACAAACATTTCACGTAGTTATTGCTTTGCTTGAATATGGAAATATGTTAATTACGGCCTTTATTCCGCTGCCTGCTCTTTTCCTCAGCCTTTTCTATTCAACCCTCTAGGTGGCCCAGCACAATGTGGCTTCTTTTCTTTCAATGAGCTCTTTCCACACTAATAGGGTCCAGGGTGATGTGGAGAACCATGTGCACAAAATTGGTGCACCACCCCCCATCCCTTTGTGGGCATGTCAGGTTAAATTCATATCAGCAGGAGGGTCACTGCCATGATTTTCAATAGCGCGAGATGAGGTGATGACTTCAGACAATGGCGCCACACTCTCCAGTTGGAGACACTTGCCTCACCAGTTGCAGTAGTTAATTAATATGCTAAAAATAGAAGCCAGTGATACAAATCGCTGCCTGTTGTACAACAAAGACTGGGCATGTGTAGCTTTGATAGCCAAGTTTATGGTGCTTGTTATGGAGGGAAGTTAGTTTAGAGCTAGAGGCAATGTAAGACTTTCTGGATGCTGAGCTTTAGTCACTCTGGGCCTCTGGCCATTCGCTCGCTGTCTCATTTGCATTATGAATGACATTAAGGGAACTAACAAGGTTATTGGGCATAGAAATGTTCTCATGTGACCCCACGTGGAAGCAGACCTACAGCAGTGCTAGTTGGCAGGGGCACTGTGGCTCTTTATTCAGCTTCCTAGGAAGACGGTTTCTGGGAGTAGATGTAAAATCAACCACAAGAAAACCAGCGTTGGGATAATGTGAAGGTCTTGATGCAAGCCCCTAGGACACAAGGAAGTTCAGAGGGCGGGCTGGAGCTGTGTCCTTCACTCAACCCGCTGAGCCTGGCCAGTGCTGAGCGTTGAGCGCAAGGCGTGGGAGCTCCTTCTTGCTTGGGTCTCCCCACAGCCACTCGGGTCTGGGTGAAACAGCTCCACGGTGGCTCAGAGACCACGCGTGAGGGTTTGGGTCCATCCGGGCTTCTGTGTGGATTCTCCCTGCTGCTGGCTCAAATGTTAGGTGGGAGGGGATGGGTTTTGGTTCTCACCCACTGCATCATAGCTTCCATGGGGACTGTCCAAACACCGGCAGAGTTTGAGAGGTTTCGCATCATCTTTTTCCTACATCTTCCCCAAAACTCAAGACAGAGGGGGGTAAATTATGGAAAGACCGTTGCCACCCATAGTTCCCATGTGTAAACTAGAAGATGCTATGGTAAATCCAAAGATTAAATGTCGGAGTTGCTTCCCAATTTAGGGCCACGTTGGCTAAATGCAGCTTCATTCACACCAATGCAAACGCGTGGGATTCTCAAACCCAAGCAAATGCAGTGTGTACAGGAGGAGAAACAGACCCATGGAGATGTAGTCTGCTTTAATTTTTCCCTTTTCTAAAGAAATTAGTGGGATTGCTGATGAATCACTCTGTGTAGATGAGAGCAGGTTTTGGGGATGGTAGGTCTCTTCCATAAATGTTTGAACATTCTTCAATTTTATAGATGTCTGTTATTTGCTCTGTGGTCCAGGAGGAGACCCTGGACAGTCATGCAAGCACATAAACATTTGTAATCTTTATAAAAATCTCTTGTTATCTGAGATCAGCCATTCCTGCTCTTCGCATTGGACTTTCTGAACTGCTGGCCCAGTGATCACACTTCTCCTGTGGAGCCACTAGCTATCAGATCAACCCATAGAAACGAGCTACTGCAGGTCACCCAGAGCCAAGTCATGGGGCTCTCTGGCAGTAGCAGTGAGTAAGAAGAGAGGCAAAATGATATAAAAGAAGGGGCTGTTTTGAGGGCTTAAAATCCCACCGTATTTATGGCCTGCTCTTGACGTCTGGTCCGATGATAAGTGCAACCACAGCCTGAGGCACTGGGGGTAGGGTGGGCTCTGTCTAGAGTGCATGTGCTCTGCATCGGGTAACCTCTTCCCATTTGCAGGCTAGATGGGGCTAGTCCTTGCATGTGTATGTATAAATCCACGTGAGGCAAATGTGAAAATTATTTTGATCATAAAGTTGCAATTCCTACCTCGACATGTGCTGAGGTCAGTATCCTCAGGTCTGTGTCATGCACTGATAAGTAGGAGTCAAGGTTTTCCTGTTGACTTACTCATTAGTGAGGGCAGTGTAACTTAATTTCCAAGATCGTCAGTTTTCCTATGTACAGTGGGTTCTTACTATTACAATAGTGCATAATTATTATTTTTATAATAATGGCAGTCCGTATTCATTGCTCCAGTCGGTGGGAGTTTGCTCCTTCAGAAGCGTTTGTCCGTGTGATGCCTGCTGAGCTCCCCTGGCATGAAGGACTTCTAACTTCTAACATCTCCCCTCCAGTCCATCCTGAGAGATGTTACAACTCGAGTGCCATTCTTACCCGACTGCTTCATTCCTCGTGGTCCGAGGGACATGTTCCAGCCTGGAGAAGAACATGCCATCTCCACAGCTATTGCAGTATCTGCCAGCTCAGTCTGGGAGGCTGAGAACAACTCTCCGTGTGTCTAAAACTTGAGCGGTTATGCAGACATCAACAGGGTTACAGAATTGGCGCTAGCTGAACAGAGAGGACTTGGGCTCTGCCCTTAACAGAAGGGCAGTTTTCTATAACAATCTGTTTCTCTAAATAGACTGAATATATTGATTGTGGTTTATTTCATATTAGGTATTACTTGGGTTGCCTCTTCCTTCTCCTCCAGTCCCCCCAGACAAAAACTGGTAGAGAAGGGTTTGTTAATGAGTTATTGTTGAACCAAAGAACTTGCAAACCAAGTTTCATTTTAGGAAGATACCGGTGAGCTGGAAGATCTCCTGGAAATGGTATTTAGTATGACATGCCAATAAACCACTACCTATGGCAGTATCATATACCGTAAAATTGCCTTATAAAGGTCACAAGAACATGGAGCTTTATTTTCATTTCTCTCCTAATCTCCACAGATGTGTGAGGGGAAGTTTTGAAATGTATTTTCAACTTGTTGATGAAGAAATAGTAGTAATGACAAATGTTATCTTTGTTTTTTTCTTTGATTACGTAGCTATGGGCTGTAAGTGTTCTCACTTCTAATTGCAAAGGTGGTAAAGATGAACGGTTAATTAAAACCTCTTTCCTGGACAGGTCTTTAAATGCTTGAGTTAATTAAGTCTTTAAAAACTGACGTGACTAAAAATCTCAGTTTGGTCCTTTGTGATACCTTGTTCCAGTTAGTTTTTGGTTATACAGAGAGCTCTAATGTGACCGAGGCCCAAATTTCTGACATAAATTACAGAAAGCCTCCTTCTTCTCTTTCCTTTTCTTTAAAACTAGGGAAAGACTGTTAAAAATTGTCCAGGTTTACTTTATGCATCAGTGAGAATAAAAGACCGAACCGCATTTCCATTTTAATTCGCAGATCTGTTACCCCTCCTTTGACTGCTTGTGATGAGCAGTGTGACTAATGAGCTCCACCGGACCAAAAAGAGTGGCACTTTTCCCTTTCTTCTACTTCCCCGTTTTTTATTCTTGGGTGTGGTTTTTTTATGTTGCTTGCCTCTGATGTTTTGCAGCTTTTCTCTTCTGGGCTTGGACTAATTCCCAGATCTGTTCTTACAGATTTTAACTTTGCCATGTACCCACCGTCAATGATAGCAACTGGAAGTGTGGGGGCAGCCATCTGTGGCCTTCAGCTCGATGACGGGGACAGCCTCACGGACCTCCTGGCCAAGATCACGAACACAGATGTGGTGAGTGTCCCGCGTTTCTCTTCTCCTTTCACTTCTGAGGGCACGGTGGAGAACTGGGCCATCAAACCTGGCCTGCTCCTGAAAGGCCAGTGGAGAGAAGGAGAGGGGGCTGCTCCTGGGTTGCAGGCGTGGACCTGGCACCTCGGTTGTGGTGCTCTGAATGTCGAAAGCTCCTTGGCTTCCCAGGATCCATTCTGATTCATGCTTTGTTCAGCAGCTCCGTGGGGAGAGCCTGCTCTGCCTGCCCTGGCTGATGGTCAGGCGTGCTGTAGGGGGGGAGCTGCCTTGGGTACCCTCCTGGGCGATGGGGCGAGCAGGCAGACACACTCCCGAGGCATAAGGTAAAGCAGTGTTGTGCGCTGGTCCTGTGTTTGCAACCTTGAAGCTGCTTTTCTGGCCCTTGCTGAGGTATCATCTAAAATTCCTTGGCTTGGTGGAAGTGAATAATGAGCTAATCCTCCAGCCCTGGCACTGAGACAGGTGCAACCCAAGGCTGCCCGGGGTTTTGTCTCCAACTTTGCTAAGCTCGTCCCATGAAGGGCTTTTCTTGGCTTGTCAGAAAGTCCCATCGTCGGTAGGAGAGGTGAATGGGACAGCATTTCAGTGGTGCTCAGACTCGCTCAAAAGTGAGTTTTCTGGTCTGGGGTCAGATTCTAGTGGGGACGTCAGAAAAACCCAAACCTGATAGCTCAGCAGAAATCTGAGGGGACTGAAAGGAGCACTTAGGGTGCCTTCCCTGAGGGCTGGTGCCTCTCCTGCTGCCCCCCTGTGTTGTTTGGATGCTGCAGGGAGAGCTTAAGCTCCTGCAAATCCAAACCACTTGGTCTGTGGATAAACAGGATCTTCATCTCCTGCGAAGCTGACGTGTTTTGCCATGATGAAAGTCACTTGAAAGAAAATGAGTGAGGCTTTCTGAAATGCAGGTCACTAATAAGATAGTGGGGTTTTTACCACAGTAAGTATGTAACTGATACCCGAAGTATCAGTTCCCAATGCGTCATCCTTAACGTGTGCTCACTATAAAGCTTCTTACTGCTTTTACTCTGTGGAGTAAATACACTGGGCAAGTATTAGATCTGTGATAACACTGTCAAGAGAAGGTTTGTTTTTTCCAGCCAACATTCTGCATTTTGGTTGAAAGGGAACAGTCCAGTTCAACAAAAAGGGAAGAATTTTGGTATTTCTTTTTTCCTTTCAATCAGACTGATCGTAGTTTTCAAGTGAAGTTCTGAGGCTTCCCATTCATTTGATTGGAACTGGGTTTTGCACAGAAACAGGAACGTTTCCAATTCTGAATGTTCATAATGTAAATCAAGCAGCTGCAGAAATTTAACATACATTTATTCCAGTGTAAATGAAAATTCTATACAGGCAATTGCTCTTTTGGGTCTGTTTTACAAGTGTGGAGAAACAGAGTGGTGATGCATTACAGTAAGCATCAGGAATGTGCAAGAAGTATCCTCTATAACAATTGAGACTGCACGGCCTGGTGCAAGTATTACACAAAGCTCATTTGTACAGTTGTTACACTTAGGCTGGGTAAATCCATTAAGTTTACTTCGTTTATGTGGATAAGAAGAATTATCTGTTATTGATACTGATACTGGCAGTTACTGGCTGAATTAATTTTTCTCCTTGGATGTTTGTGTGGCTGGATGTAACATGATGAGTTTTGAATGCTGTATCCAGCAAATGTCCAGGAGGACTCTTAAGACAAGCGGGCAGGTGTGAGAAGGGCATTAGAAACCAGGTGGAGGAAGATGAGGATTTAGAGAGCGACTAACATCTTGTTAGCAAAGGTGCTGTCTTCAGCCAAGGTTGTGAATATCCACAGAATCAGGAAGACAATGCTAGGTGCTAAGAGCTTCCTTTAGAACTTAACTCCACAGAGTGTCTGAAAGGTCGGTGCTCCACCGCTGTGATTTTCCTTGCTACATGATGATGCCAGTTGAAGTTGGTCCTGCCCGGCCGCTGCTCATTTTCGTGCTTGTTTTTGCTTGTGTATGCCCACACAACCGTTCATATACTTGTGTTTCAAGCCCAGCCTAGAACTGATCCAACTTAAATAGGAGGGAAGGACCACTTGTTGTGTTGGAGTTGGGGGGTCAGGGGGGCTTGCTTGTTTTCTAACACTGAGAACAGCCTCACAAACAGCTGGGAGTGCTGAGCACTGTAGCGCAGGGCAGGAGACGGGCATGAGAGGAATTTCTGTAGCCACCATTGTCTGTGAGCTCATTGTACTACAGCTGTAGAAATTACAGCCTGATGAACCAACTTTGTAGTCATCAGGACAAGGATAACGATGAGAGCGAGCGAATGACAGCATGGGGGTGAGGAATGGGAACACAAATAGCCCTTACGATGGCAGGGGAGGGACAGGGAGGCTTGTGGAGAAAGAGGATAATTGGAAAGTTTAGGGGAACTTTCACAAGGTTGGTGCCTGCTTCTGCTGCTGCGAGGCACGTCCCTGGGTAGTCATTTGGAAGTCCTTTTTGAGGATAGAAGCAAGTGGTGCTCAGGTACCACCAAAACCCAGACCTAGAACAGTTAGCCTCAGCAGAGCTCATCATTTTGTTCCTGTGCCATCTGATTAACAATGCCACTTTTCTGTCACCAGACCATGTTTCCCGTATCAGTAAGCTCCAGATAAGCTTCTGGTACTGCTTCCACAGCATTTTGGCACTTTTCAGAAGGGAGATGCCAAGGTAGCCCTTGCTGGTGTTTGGTAGGTTTTGATCAATTGTATAGTAGCTGGATTCTGTCTTTCTGGAGATGTCAGGGAGTTGTCCAGGGTGGTTCTTCATCTCCTCTAACAGTTTCCCTGTGCAGTCACAAGGATCTTTTCCCTTCTTGCTCTTTTTCAGCATTGCCAGGAGGTTTGGGTAGCAGTGACAGCATGGTGCTGACGATACTTAGGTGAGGGCAGGCAAGCTCAACACATGGGCCACAGGGGCTACATCACTGGGACCTTGCAAAATATTTAGCTTTGCCTCTATTTCCTGGTCACAGGGAATAGCATTTCCCTCTCTCACACATTATTTTTGCCAACAAAGAGACTTTGAGCATCCCACTCTGTTGCAGCCCTTGCTGCAGCAATCTCTTCCTTAGTCACCTTTCAGTTGGGTTGTTGCAGTTTGTGCTGTATGGGATCACGTTTGGAAGGTCTTCCCAGGCTTTGCGGAGCTGCTCCTCACCGTCGGGATCACACCCATGGGTTTTCCTACTGCACTTCTCTGTGTGTTTCTGTCTGGTTCCAGGCTCGTGCCTTGCTGCTTCACCTGTGAAGCCCTGCTTGAATTGAAATCCCAGCTGACGCTTCCCATGCTCAGTCTGCGTACTAGGGGTGTTTGTGAAGGCTTGTAGGGATAGAAAAAACGTCCCAGTAGGGTGTCTTTCTGGTGGAATTTTCTCCTTGGTATGGTAGAACCCATGTTAATTGACTTCCCAAACATGTTGCAGGCTTACTGCACACAACGACATTTGAGGACGGCTTTTTTTTGGTGTCTTGGGAGTTTTTTCTGGATTCTCTTCATTTGATACTTATTGGTATACACTTAAAGTTCATATTCTTTATACAGGAGATACTGAAGCTTTCTCAGGCACCCCAGTGCTTCTTACTGTAAGGCTTTTTTACAGCATCTTGAAGATCGGCCAGACTTTATCTCCTGTGCTGAATTTTTTTGTCCTGATTGTTTCAGTCTGAAAGAAAATACCTGCCAAAACAGCTTAGTAGTTCTTAAGTGGTTAGAAGAAAAAAAAAAATGGTTTTTGCATTGAAAATTTCTTCATGCCTTTCCTTTGAAATTCAGCAGATGAGGTTTTGTTAGAAATGTGCTTTTTGCCATCCTCGCGAAAATCTTCCCAGAATTAGCTGAGCTTACATGGCTTTGGAAAAAAAAATATCACTCTTCCCAAATAACGAAAAACTCTTTGACATTTTACAATTTTAACATTACAAGCTCAATATGAGTGAACAGTGTCTTGCAGCAGCAAAGGCCAACAGGATGCTGAGCTGCATCACCAAGGCATCGCCAGCAGAGATAAAGAAGTCATTATCCCACTATGCTCAGCGCTTGTCAGGCCACACCTGGAATACTGTGTTCAGTTTTGGTCCCAGCTGTACAAAAAAGATGTGGACAAGCTGGACAGGGTCCAGAGAAGGGCCACAAAGATGATCAAGGGACTGGGCAGCCTGCCATGGGAGGAAAGGCTGAGAGAAGTGGGTTTGTTCAGCCTTGAGAAGAGAAGGCTTAGGGGAGACCTTATCACCATGTTCCAGTATTTAAGGGGTGGCTATAAAGAAGATGGAGACTCCCCATTTTTACAACAAGTTGTGTGGAAAAGATGAGGGATAATGGGTACAAGTTACTCCTGGGGAGATTCTGATCGGACACAAGAGGAAAATTTGCCACAATGAGAACAATCAGCCATTGGAATAATCTCCCCAGGGAAGTGGTGGATTCCCCAACACTGAACACGTTTAACATTCAGCTGGACAGGCTCCTGGGCCATCTTGTCTAGACCAGGTTTTTGCCAAGAAAGGTTGGACTGATCCTTGAGGTCCCTTCCACCCTGGTATTCTATGATTTTACTGATCATATCTCCTCTCCAGGAGTCTGTTGGCATCGGGTAGACACAAGCTTTCTTCCCCTTGCTCCTGATCGCAGCCCACAGCAGCACAGACCACAGAGGAGAGTCTTGGCTCCCACTCAAGACAAAAGGAGCTTCTAGATAATTTAATCACTAAAACATTTAAGTCTTTGCAGAAGTTAGAGGTGCTGTCATTTTTTTCAAGATGTTTCCGTTGTCATGGCAGAGGTGGCTTTAATTCATAATCTGTCTCTTGCAAGCTTTGAAGTCTCAGCCCAAGCAGAATTGGCCGGAATTTTTAACTTGGGCAAATTATGTATTTTTCACTAGCCAGCTATTTGGAAATGGGAGCAATATTTTGGTAGAAACTTTCTCCATGTCTTTTGCATTAGCAAAATGTGAAAGGGCCC